GCCGGGCTCCCGCAAAACCTCTGCTAGGTGGGAGCCCCCATTTTCTTAAAAACAGGTTGGAACCTTTGAAAAAAATAGAAAAAAAAAAAACAGAAAAACAAGCAAAAAAGAAAGAAAAGGGGTTCCAACCATCTTCAGGAAGAAAATAGAGCACCTTAAAAAGGTGAGTCCATGATCTTTTGTTTTTGAGAGTCCGTTCATCCACTATTCATTTGTCCTCTGTTCACTATTTGCCATGATTCCGACTCGAGACTAGCGCTCTCGCCGAAGAAGCTATGAGATGACTTGTGCGTTGGTTGACCTCGTAAGCTGCTAAATGATCTAGGAAATCCTCTACCTATGATCGGGGTTGTTGGTTGGTATGGAGGTCTGGAGAGTTGCATTGGTTTGAGTTAGGTTTGCTTGGGGACAAGCAAACGGTTAAGTGTGTGGGAGTTTGATAGACCGATAATTGCAGATGTTTTCACCCATATTCTTGAGCCGTTTGAGAGGTTGATTATCGTACTTTAAGCCGATTTCTTGCGAGGTTGTGCGTTTATGTCATATTTCAGGGCTCGGCGTTGGAATCGAGGCGAAGAAACTAGTTTTGTATCGAAAGGAGCGAAGTTGGGTCAAAGTGTGCTGCAGGAAGAAAATACCCGGTCATGGGCTCAAATACCCGACCGGGTATTTATTGTTTTGGGCATCGCGGAGAAACAGAAAGGGGCCCGGGCAGGAGGCGAAAAATCCCCGGTCGGGGATTATTGGCCATGACCGGGGATTTCTCCTGAGGCAAAACGGCGCGTTTCAATTATACCCGGTCAAGACCCAAAATACGGACCGGGTATCGCGTCAGGCAGCAGTTTTAAAGGAAAAGAAGGCTAAAAATCAAGGGTTCCGAGTTTTAGAGAGACAGAGCGATTCCTAGAGAGAGAAAGCGACGAACCAGAGTTCCCAAGTGCCATAACTTGATCTTCATCACCATTGGAGCCCGGCTTGAGCTTGGAGAAGTGCCGATCGACGACCAGGAGCAGAAGCTCATCCTTTACAGTATGATTTCCGCATCTGAATCTGCTTTTGCTTCTCTCTCCATGGAGTAGTTTCCCCATTCATCTTGGTATCGAGAACCCTAGATTTGTATGTTAGGTCTGATTGTATGAACCCAAGTACAGATTTTATGATTTGATTATATTCGATTGAGGCTTGAATGACTTGAATCCTGATCAAATTCCTGTTGTTTCTGCTTTAACCTAGAAAGAGAATATCTACCTAGGTTGATAGAGCACCCTTAATTGAAGGTAGTGAATTGGCGACTTTAGTCGAGGAGCCAATTCACTATTCTGTACCGAATTCAATTCGGTAGTGGAGGTTTGGTTCGTTAGGGCCTCAATCTGTTTACTCCGATGGAGGTTAGTCGCCCGCTGGAGACTCAGATTGAGAGGGTCTGAAGACCTTTAGTCGAGACTTCAGACTGTTTAAGAACCTTCCGCAGTATAACTATCATTAAAACTGAACTTGGTGAATTGCAATCCGGCTTAACTGCAGTCTAGGGGGAACCATATCCGGGTGGCCTCTCTCGACTTGAAAACAACCGTTTAACTTGCTTTGTTTGTTTGTTAATTTGGACTTGCACTAAAGTTTCACCGCTAGATAATAAGAATTCACTGAGTATTCATCACATTTAGGACCCGGGTTGACATTAAAACCCAAACCCGCTATACTACGCTTTAGGAAGTGGTTACACTTGGCCAATTTCTAGAGTGACAGTAGGAGTGAGTCAGTTGTCTTCCGCTGGGTGGAGTCCGCGAAACACGTTCTTTGCTGCTTTTTTTGTTGCTTCTGGCCCTCAGCATACAACCTCATCAACCAACTCCTGAAGGTGACGTTTAGCTTCATCCTTGTGGGGCACGTACTCCTGGGCATTGGGTGGATGCTTGTATGCCAGTGTCTGCCAAAATAGATGAAGATCACCCGGCTATATCTCTATGTATCGCGCTCTGCCATCCATAACCTGACATCCACACTTTAAGCCGTGTGTCACAGAGAAATGACATGCACATTGGGAGTTCTCATTTTTTCCAAACGGGCCGCCAAATCTTCTTCAACCTCTTTCATCAATATAATTGCCTGCATGCTGACCTTCTTTCTCAAGTATGTGAAGGGTGTACCGTCGGATGCTGAAAGGGTTTTCTGTCGAGAGTTTTCCAACGTTATCCTAACCTCCTTGAGTTGGTTAGTAATGTAGCGATGCTTTCCTTTCCATACAGTGTCCATAGACCCTCGCGAGTTGTGGAGGAACGTTTTCATGGAGGAGTGTGATGACTCAACCCTGTTTGTGCTCGTATTTCCTAGATGAAACACATTTTTGGTATGACAAACTGTCCACTTCTCTCGATGTTGCCACCACACTCCCTGTATGTATTGCAACAGACATGGTTCGTCATTGCTCCATCTCTCCCTAAAGCGGCCAAACGCGGCCAACATATCTTGCTTGGACCAAGAATAAAGAATAGGACAACCGTGATCGTAAGCCTCGTTGACCAAATCCATCCCGTCCTTCTCAAATATTTCCAAAAACTTCTTCTGCACATTAGTGTTGATGTGCCAAACACATAGCAAAGCGGGGTGTGGGGGAAGACACCAGAAAATGTAGCAAGTAGTCCACCTTCGTGGTCGGTGATGATGGCAGTGGGCACGCGTGGATGGAGCAATTGTTTTATGCACTCCAACAACCAATGATACGCCTCTTTTGTCTCTTCCTTCATGAGAGCACAACATATGTTGAAATTCTTCCCAATGGGAGTAGCACCTACGACCTCCACCCACGACATTTTATACGCATTGGTCTTATACGTTGAGTCGATCAGAATCACGTGCGGCCAAGTCTTCAACATCTGGATGGAAGTTGGATGGGCAAAACAAGATGGGTCAGCACGTCGTTATTGTCCTTCATGACCTCTAAATGATAATTCTCACATTCAGCTGCTTGCAACGCATACTGCACTGCATTCATCTCGCCCATGTCGTCTTTCCTAGACTTGGACCCGAGGTTATACATTTTCCTTTTGGTGTGATGCCCTTTGTCACGCTTTTGCATGTTTATTGTCTGCTTCTGTTGCGACGGAAGTATCCCAACATCTCTCATCTGCTTCGGAGATTCTTTATCCTCCTGACTGAATTTCTTCATCTCACTGTGGCCCTCCGGATAAAGCATCTTCTCATGATTGTGATACCCTCGCCTTAAACCGGTTTTTTGCTCCCTCACTTCTTTTATCTCCCAGAATGTCGGTCCATGAAGAGCATTTGGATCAACAAGTACTTCTTTGATTTTAATCCTGAACATGCAATTAGTCCCTTTTGAACTTGTATTGCCACGACTCTCTTTGGAAGGATCCGGCTTGTATGACTTCCTCTCCCTACCGCATCTGTCGCAATACATATAACACATACCCAATACTCTTTTGTTGGGCAACTCACTTGGCTTCATCGAGCCCTTAATTAGAAAGAAACCAAAAGACATCACGATGTTTTTGGTCACTGTTACAACATCTTCGAAATTGTCATATTGAGACGCCATTGAGGAAATAGTCTGTGTAATCATCATTTAGTTCAACATTATAAGCCATGTCCACCTGCAATTATGATTTTACAACTCGTTAGAAAGAGACAAATTATATGATTCAACACAACTAACTAATGAATCAATTAATAGGAAAATCAATTAACTCTAAAAAATTAAACTAAATGCAATAATTTAATTAACTCTACAAAACAATGATAATTTAATGATAAGAAATTTATTTAAATATAAATTATTAATGAAATTAGCTCTACGAATTAAATCTAAACACAATAAACTAATTAGCACTACAACAAAACACAATCACTTAATTAAAATTATATACGAAATTAACTATGTAAAATAAAACTAAAAGCAATAAATTAAATCAAAATTATTAGCTCTAAAATTAATAATAACATAAATATATATCAAAATACAAAAAAAAATTGTATTAGACCTGCTGGCGTCGGTCGTCGTCCGATCACCGGACACAGACGCCGTCCGCTCACGGAATCGGACGCCGTCCGCTTTATCAGGTCGGATGGGGTCCGCCTTCGCTGTTCGGACGGGATCCACCATCTCTTGTCGGATGGGGTCCGCCTCCGACTGTCGGACGACGTCCGCTCGCCGTTGTGGAACGGGGCAAAGTCATTACGGTCAGGAGGTTACCTCATTCGCTAGTCCCACGATGTGGTTTGACGGCTGCCGTCCGGTCGCCGGCGAATTTGGCTGATGATTCTGTGCTCGCCGTCGTGACTCCGGTTATGGTGGTTGTGGATTGGTGGTCGGGTGGTGGTATGAGGCTACGATGAGTGTGAGTAGTTTAAAAAACCAAACCAAAGAATAGAATATAAAGAAATTGTGAAGGACAAAAATGTAATTTTAGTTTAATTTACGGGCGCAAATAGTATATACACGGACGGCAAATAACACCTCTCATACCCAAATAGTGAGTGTTATTAAAGTTGAGCTGAACTGCTCGGTTCGATCGGTAAAACCGCCACCCGGTCACAAAACCAGCTCGGAATAGTCTAAAAGTCGCTCCGGTTTTATGTAGCGGTTGACGAGCGGCCGAGGCGGTTAACCGCTGGAGCCGATTGAGCCGTTCGTCCGATTTTTGCCATTCAGCCGTTAAATCTGATTAAAAAATTGCAAAAAATTGAAAATTGAAATAAACAGAAAACGTCGGGCTCTCAAACTGAATCCTTATTTCCATTTCACAATTTCAAAGGAAAGAGACGAGCTCTGATTAAGAAATGTTCACTATTTATACTGATAACGTTTATTAGGTACCGGTTCTCTAACAATTTTAAACGATTTAATGCTGGATGAACCACTAAAGTGTGAGCGGTTCACATTATCGGGTCATACTCCGATTCGGTTCGGACAACATTCGTCAAATAGCCAAATACCCTTTTCCACCACGAATGACAACCATGTCCAATACCAAACATTGTGTGTTGATGTCTTTTCTCGCTTAAAAGAAAAATAATATAAGGAAAATCCAAAGGAGCCAATTGCCCACTGTAGTATGCAGAAGGAAGATCCATTGTTTCCCCCTCTACAGGGTCATCTTCCTCCAGAGCCGTGGCCTCTTGTTAGTCCCGCAACTGGCTAGGTTTTACGCTACGCCAAAAATATTGCAGCTTATCAAAGCCGCATTGAGTGGTTAGTTTAGTCAGAAATCCCATCTTCCTTTTTCTCCACAATTCAATCCTACTCTTTTTTTGTCCCACTCTCGACCTCTTTCCGATTTCTCTGCTTATGGTGAATGCTCGATGTGATGCTTTCCAGTGGAATGAGTCGTTTCTGCTGAGGGGTTTCGCGCTTCGGGGTCTTCTCTGAAATTGGTTGCCGTTGGATTGTTCATATCCTGTTTAAAGGTTTCGGATGTGTGGGTTTTCTCTCGATTGATGGGATTCGGAAGAGAACAGTAGTGGTATGAACGTTGCTGCCCCTTCCCTTTGCGATTGTGTTTTTGAGCAGGTGAAATCTGTCATTTCGGTGTTTTCCTATGCCTTCACTCTAGACGGTGTTGATTTCCATCATCGTCCGGCGGTTTAGTCTCTGATTTTGGAGTGGTTGATTAGGTTTAAGTGCAGCAGATCTATTCATTCTTGATTTTGATTTAGGTTTCTTTCATGGTAAAAGGAGGGCAGTCGGTGTTGAATACTTGGGGGATGCTCATTTTGCTGAATGAATAGCAGAAATGGATCTGTGGGTTGTTGGAGCCGCTGCAGCTGCTGGGTACATAGCCAAACATTGGCAAAATAATTCCAAGTCTGTATCGGATTCATCTAGTGAGGTTTTAACATATGATAAACCTGAAAGTCCTAGCTGTCCCATAAGTAGATTAATTCACAGGAAGATATTTTCAAAAGATAGTGTCACTGGTGGAAGAAGGACAGACTCCGATGACAGATTCTCGGATGTCTATTCTGTAGATGGTCACTCAGAACCCGAAGCAGTTTCTTCTAGCAATTATGTGGAAAACCCCGGAGGCTCAGGAGATTATCAGGATTGGAATGCACCTCTAGGGCCATTCATTCAACCAGGATTCTCAATGGTTGGGAATATGAAAAACTTTGTGGGTGCCTGTGACTCAAGTTCTGACACAATTAACTATCCCTCTCAGCATTGTAGTAATGGAATGGACTTCAATAGTCGCTCTGGGAGGAATAGAAGTTCTCTGAGAAAAAGATATCCTCGAACTCATTATATTAAACCTATAAATTCTCTTGAAAGTTGCCTTGTGACTCAGTTATGGAACGATCACACTGAAACAGAAGAGTATGTGTTTGGTCCCCTTCCATCACCTTCTACACCTATGAGACCATTACTTGTAACCAATGGAAGTCAAATAATTAGCAGATCCTGTCTCAAATCGCGGTGTGTGAATAATACAAGTGGAGAGTGCAACGAAGAAGCAATTGTGTGTGGGGTTCCTTCATTACCTAAAATCGGGACTTCGAAACCTGGACAGAAGATACAGTCTGGGAGAGGCAAGGAGTGCAGTCAAAAGCTAACCAGCTTTGATAAACAGAGGAGAAGCAGCATAAGTCATCCACTAAATGGTATTCTTTCCTTACTCCTTCATTGAAACAAACTTTTAACTGTGGGAGAAGTCTGGATATTTGTTGTTTTCTGTCTCCTACATTCATACTAATGTCAACTTATCTAGTAGCTTCATTTTTACTAAATAGCATTTTAGTAGCTGAGAAACTTTGTTCCTAGATCAAAGAATCAATCTAGACATCCAGAATGAAAAGAACTGACATATGCTTTTGTTATGCTTGATTTCTGCATTCATACTGTGTTATGAAAACGAATAAAATTTAATTTCCGGTGTAAAGAAAATGTATGTGTTTACTGCTTAGTGTATGATTGTATGAAGAAAGGTGACAACAAATCTTTGTCACACTAAGAATAGTGCTATGCTTTCTCGCCGTGTTGCAACATTTGGTTTAAACCTCTGGGGATTGTTTGTTTCACATGGTTAGGCTTATAGAAGCTTTTGAACACCAAGTTTAGGTTCCCTACCTTTTTTCTTAATTGGTGTTTCATGTTGCCAAATAAAAGACACGGTAGCTCCAACACTAGCTTGTGGATCCCATTTGGCTTGGGTTCTAATGTTATTTATTCCATTTAGGATTGTGTCTTATATATGATTCATCCCCACTTGATACGTTACCTGACACTAACATAGTTTCTCATCTCATGATACTCTTATCAGGGTCAATTGGTGAAAACGTTTCATTCTTTCTTGGGATTTCTATTGGTGTAATTTCTTCTCTTGTGGCTAACAAAAGGGAAGTTGAGAAGCTAAAAGACTCTTTAAAGCTGACTCAGAATCTGGTTCAAGATCTACAGGAGGAACTTGAGATGAAGGACTTGGTTACTGTGAAGGAGCTTGCGGCTAATGAGAATTATAAATCACAGGCTACCAGTGAGAATTTCTCTGACAAGTCAGATCCGAAATTGCTTTTCCAAGCTCAAAATGAGAACACAGAATTGAACAATGAGAACGCAAAGGCTCCAGAATATATGAGTAAAATTGAAGCAGAGCTTGAAGCTGAACTGGAGAGGTTGGGACTCAACATGAATGCATCAAGTATAGAGGGGAAATTCTCAGGTCCTATTGATGTAAGCAAAACTTCCTTATCTCTATATTGACAACTGATGTGTAACACACTTTTTAGATGGGCCTTTATGGGTTACTTCGCCAGAGTAACAAACGCGAATTGCTAAGGGTAGCATTTGTTTCATTAAGCTTGAGTTAGCCAGAAATTTACAAAACCATGTAGGGGAAGTGCTTCTTAAGAGTTGGTTATGAATCTGATTTCAGTAAGAATTGAAACACTAGGAGCAAACTTGTGTTAGTTACTGTCCTAAACTTGTGCTGGACTGTTAATTTGCCACATGTGAGAAGTGAAACTATCATTGTCAGTATACATATGGCCTACGTGGATGTCTAAACCAAATCCGTGTTGAGGTTGTTTTTGTTATGTAAGGCTGCTAAAAGTTATTTCAGAGAATAGTAGATTAGAAAAATCATCTACTGGCCCTTTTACATTGGGTATAACTATAAACATATGTGCAGCTTGATCCAGACTTTGTAGCAGATTTTGCTCATGGCGAACTGAAGGTTGACATCATCAGGGACGGTGATGATGCCAATACTGAAACAGAAAAAGATGCAAGTGGGGCCTCAACTACCCATTCTGGAGACCATGCAGTTTCACCCAAAGAGCTGAGCCTTCGTCTGCATGAAGTCATTCAATCCAGGCTGGAAGCTCGAGTGAGGGAGCTCGAGATAGACCTCGAGAGTAGCCAAAGAAAGGTGCACCAGCTTATGGAATCAGAAGATCATAGCCTTGTTTGGAGATTGTCAAGCAGGGAGCTTAGATACTCTTCTTCCGGGGAAGATGGTAGTCCAGTTGTTGGTCAAGTTGGTGATTTCAGCAGTGCCAAAATGGCCCAACAACCACCTGTTGTTATGAACCTTTCAGGGGAGGCTCTGGATGCTTATAACGAGGTATATGAAGAGCTCGGGAAGATGAATGAGTCGGTGGAGGAAGAGGATGATTCTCCGACATCATTTTATGAGGACTTCACACAACATAAAGAGGAATTACTGGAAACAGAAGCACAGTACAGTGATAATATTGCGAGTGAGGAAGAAAGTGATTCGAATGAGGATATGGAGGAATTGATAAAGCGCATAGTGGAGAGGACAAAAAGAGGCTCTCCTGCAGTGGTGAATGCACAAATGATGTTGAGTTCTATTGACGAGAAATTACGTTATTGAACTGGGAAAATTGAAGACATGAAGTTTTGTACTGTGTACAGAGGGATATGTTTACACAAAACGAGTCTTCTTTAAGATTGTGTTCCATCCTTCAAACTGGAAGTAGTTTAATGGAAGCGAGCTGAAAGCATGGTAGGATTGTTGTTATATCGAAGACGTTGCTTGTTGTGGACGACAACTTTCTTCTAACATTGTTATATGATGTAATTTTAGTGACAATACACAAGGGTTGATATGCAATGTTACTATTCCTATAAACAACTTCATGTATACTATGACCGCAATCCCCAACTGCAAAAGAAATACAATTTACGAGAAGATGTCACCATGTGTTACGTGATGAATTTCGGCTTAGTTGGACCGGTTCTAGTGATTTAACTAAAAATGATAGCCCGCTGCATAACCGCAGGAACTAGAGTTGGGCATTGGTGTAGTCAAATCGCTCCAAACCGCTTATGCGGTCGAGCCAAACCGCACCGTAAGACTTGCGGTCCACTATGCGGTCTGAATTTTTAGCGGCTCGCGGTTCGCGGCCGGATTAATTCGAAACCGCGCTGTTGTGGTTAAAAACCGCAAACCGCTAATAATTTTTATTCCTCTGGACAGTCAATTGCCAGCGGCTGCTTTTAACTTTCGTTCAGTTTTGGCTGATTGAAGGGGTTTCATAACTATCAGCACTATCGAATACGGAACCGCTAAAGTTTGAAGGAGCCGTCCCCGCCGCTGCCGACCCACCCAGGGTGTTCCTATTGAACTCTGCTGCCAGAGGAATAATAAGGCTCTATTTTGAGCTGCTAAGTAATTAATTAACTAAATTAACTAAAGTAATGGTCATGAAGTCATATATAACTAACGTGATTAATATATGTATATGTATAATTAAATATAATTAGTTAGGATCTTAAATATTTGTTTTCGTACAATTAGAATTTGTCAATTCAATTATTTATAGTCCATATTTCATTGCGGCCAAATATGCGGTGCGGTCCAAACTACACCAAATCGCATATTAAAGCGGTTTGGTTTGTCCGCACCAATTAAATTGCGGTCTAATATGCCGTGCGGTGCGGTTGAACCACGCCACTTGCCCACCCCTAGCAGGAACTGACTGGTCAAAGCTCCAAAACATCTTTTTTTTACAGTGAGGTCCAAAACATCATTGATGGGCGCCATTCTGCAGATTGCCTAACACAGTATGAAGTTGTTAGCACAGCTCGGTACATTTGGTCTGCTTCATACTTGCATTCCAGTTTTGGTTCAGCCAGTTCAGCTACATTCCCAGAAACATTAGCAACAAATACATGAACTTCATGTACCATAAGAGAAGGTTATGCATTGGGGAATCAATAGGCCAGAGATGATCTTTAGCAGTAAAAATCCAGAGAAGACATCTGTTTTCTCATCCACAATCCCCCGTGCATGAAAGATCCAACCAATTCAATGCAGATCAGCAGCTGTGGATCCTCGGGAGTACTTCCACCATATCCTGCTTCCCTTTCTACCCAAATCTTGCCATTAAGGCACCTTACCTTAATTAAACGCCAAATAACACTGCAATGAACAGATGTGTGCACCTTGGCATGCATTTCCCTGGCCTCACACTAACCTCTTCAGTAGACCATCTTCTGGATCTTGCTTTGCTTTGCAGTCACAGATAACTGAGACAAACACGAAACAGATTAACATATATCTTGTGTCAGCATATCTCTGACTCGGTCTGAGTGAACTCAAGAAAAATCAAGAATTAATTCTAATAGGAGTGAAGGAAATGTGTAAATAAAGAATGAATTACTGCTGCCTTAGTTACAATCTTGCACAATTATTTCCAGTGAAGTCTAATTATTTCTAATGTTCTACTGATTGTTATCAGTTGCCCATGAAGTATGATTATCTGAATCTTTTGTTCTTGTAAATCATTATCTTTAGTGCGCTCTTGATATGAGACTTTTAATAAAGCTCGTTATTTTCCTTCCTAATCTCATTTAGGCCTCACCTCATTATCTATTGCCATATAAAGTGTCTCTTTCTACTCTCGGTTGCTGTTCACATTTCATTTTTCTTTTCTATTTTAATTTCAATGTACGACCGTATGTTCATATGAAGTAATTTCGTATATTCCTAGCGTTATGCCACACACAATCATTTTCTTAGGATGTATGATCTTGGTGAAAAGCATTTGTAGGCATAAATTTTGATAGAAATTGTCCCTTGGCATTGGAATGTATATATTTTGAGTCTTGAAGCTGCTTTGTGGATTAGATGCACAATTTTATGATTGATCAAGTTTGTTGTAGCTTGAACTAACGAATGTACATTTGGGTTGGAGGGACTGACGAACAATAAATTTTCGTAACTCTAGCTTTCACACAGTCCCTATAGGGTGATGACCATTTTATTAGTAGAAAAAACACAAAATTACACTTGCAATTATGGGAACGAAGTCCACGGACTAGAGCCAAAACAGCAACTGGACAAATCGGAATACAAGCTTTCCAAAATTGCAGCACACCACTGCTTCCGAAAATTGCAGCACACCAAACCATCCGCACATTGCAGCTCTGCTATCCCAAACTACTCAACTTTCAAGGGTTGCGTTGGGAGGATTACTCTTCCGTTTTGCAGCAGGAGGTGGATGGGTCTCAGAACAGACGTCAAGCTCGCCATAAGGGTAAGGGAACCAGAGTTGCGGCTAACGGAAGCAGCGACGACGAAAGAAGATAATGAATTGACAGAAAGAGAGAGGATCGTCAACTTGTTAATTATTAAAAATTATTCCAACAGACGAACTACTTCCTCTCCAAAAAAAATTAACGACACTCCAGTACTTCCCCCACTTGCAGCAACAGGTTCAAAGTTCAGGCAATAACTATAACATTCAACGGAAAACAAAAAGGGGAGGCAGGCAGAAACTAAAACGACCGAGAGCAAGAAAAGTTGTACTGAGCAGCGGTAAGATAACAATCGAGCAGATATCAAGCCCTCTTAGCGAAGTCGTCAGCATCCTCATCCGCACGCTCATTTTCACCCGCTGCCTCAAACTCAAAACCACCATCAGCCTCACTTCTTTCTGTGGTAGCGCCAAATTGTTCAGCACTTCCTCCAAATCCAGCACTGCTACCAAAATCATCGCTGCCACTGACACCACCAGCAACGCCAAAGTTGTTTGAAGCATCACTACCACCATATGCCCCTCCAGCAGGACCACTGTTGTACACATTCCCACTGGCTACACCAAAATCGTCAGCACCACCCCCAAATGCTCCACTGCCGCCACTGCCATAAGTGCTTGCAGCTGGAGAGCCTCCGAAGCCTCCACTAGGGTTTCCCCCAAAGCCTGAGTTTGGGTTACCACCACCGTAACCACCACTTTGACCGCCGCCGTAGCCTCCAGCACTGCCTCCATATCCGCCTCCTCCATAGCCTCCACCACTGTTGTAGCCTCCACCACCATAACCACCACCGCCGCCACCATAGCCACCACCTCCATAGCCACCGCCGCCACCTCCATAGCCACCGTCACCGCCTCCAAAGCCACGATTCCTGTCCGCTGCATAATTTACCCTTATCCTGCGACCATGAAGATCCTGGAGGGAAGAATGAAAGATTCCATACAGCGATCAATATAAACCGCCCATCTTGGCCAACAGATCCGAGTTAATATGTTACAGCACATACAATGCTGTCACTAACTATCAACTCAATATAATATCAATTAAACTAAAAAAAAATTCAGCAAAAAAAAAAAAAAAAAACACAACAGTCAGTCGAAGACTATGAACGTTTTTGCTATACTTCAGGTATCTCGCATGTGAAAGATTTTCAAAGACCCAGTTGTCCAACCAACAGTTTAAATAGTCGAGAGGAGTATTAGTTTAACGAATCCTGCTAAAGCAACAAAAGCTGAACCTATAGCCTATAGAAGGTGCATGGTTATCCTACTGTAGTTCTGGCCTAGGATTTGGCCAGGCGCAATGTTAGGTTTGGACCCCAAATTTTGCTTGTGTTTCCAAAGATGATGTTGACTACTTACTTCATGGTGAATTTTTTAAGTGGTGTATAGTTACGAAGCAAAACTGGGGTCAAGATTGGGGTACAAGTTATTGTAGAAGTACTTTGGATAATATGGTTACTCAAATCAATAACAAATATGAAGTTAACTAAAAAAATAAAAAGAAACCGCGCTAGGAGGGCTGTCACCTCCCTTTCACCAAAACATGCAACACCCGGAAACAAACAGTTATACTGAGCCACCTAAGCATCTAACTGATCACAAGAAAGTATCATTTCATCAACCATCATGATTCTTTTTTCGTTTGCTAAAATAACCAGCACAAAAGGTCTAAGTTAAGTCCTCATCATCAGAATTTAATATTGTGAAAGAAGATGCAACTAAGAGTACCTGCCCATCCAATGCTTGGATAGCACTCGATGCCTCCTCACTGGAAGTATATGTAACAAATGCAAATCCCCTAGATCTGCCAGACTCGCGATCCATAATGACTTTTGCTGCAAAAATAAAATACAAAATCTTAATACAAATAGAAAATTCTACAATAAAATAGTTTCAGACATCAGAAATCAGATGGACTTCTCAACAGGAAGCCCAAGTACAATACAAGAACACGGTTAGAACAATTTGATTATTATACTTCCCTATACTAGCTGACTTACCTTCAATGACACTTCCATACTTACTAAAAGCCTCTCTCAATGAATTTTCATCTGTGTTGTACGAAATACCTGCAACACCAAAGTTGGATCAGCCGCTGTCCATCACTTACCATGATGTGTACTGCAAACAGTTCCAAAAGAATATCACCTCCCACAAATACTTTCGAAGATGACATGCATCGTATGGCTTGAAAGATGGAGGGCCTCGATGCAGAAAATTGAGCAGCTATCTGCTTGCTTGAAGCCTGCTTGAGTATATTCCCAAGTTTGCTAAAAAAGGCCATTCTAATCTCTGCTCAAAAGGAATGATAGTACACCATCAGACAACCATGTGAAGTGATCAAATGACCACTGGAAGGTAGAAACAAAACCAAAACCAACAAAAAATTATTAATAATGGGAAATAAATCCGAATCTTGCTAATTGTCCTCAATGAAGGCAGCAAAGAGGTAAGTAAACCATGCTACGAAAAGAAAAAGGGGGAAACATATCATTTCGGAGCTCCCTCGTCGCATAGAAGCAAACTTTCAAGATGTCACTGCTAAATCCAGTCCCAGCGACAATACCCACCTCACATATATATTCAAGAAATACGGATTTCTAAGGAAAGACGCACTGAAGTCTACACCTTTGCCACCGAACAAGAGAATCACGCTCAACCAGTATTTGCTTATATAAGACAAATCTAAGTGATAATAAACCACAAACCCAGTTTCTCCACAACCCAATAAACAACCTTCTCAGTTACAGCACAAATCGGGAGATAAGCAAAAGCTACAAATCACAATCGAAACTATCCATCCACTCAATTGCTGACAAAACGGAACAAAACCCTACTGCGAAAGTCCGACAACAAAGCATAAGAAAGAACGAAAACCGAGTCATCAACCAGGAACTGGAAAGTGGAAAACGGAGAACCACGAAAATGAGTAAATCAGGTTTTATCAAAGTTCGACGATGGATGCGTACCTAGTGTTACTGACTGTCGTAGCCCACCACTCGACGATCGGGGGAGTAAAACCCTATGTATGTCGCCTCAGTCGAAGAAGAAGAAGAATAGGGGTTTATGCTCTCGAACCGGGGAGGAAGAAGATTTATATTTCCACGCGAGAAGATATCTGGGCCGTTGGATCAGAGATTAAACGGTGAGTTCCACATTCTGAGGGCTTCCACGTAGCCAACTGGGATTGGGCTGTGATGTAAGCTGTAGGTGACAGGCAGTTAGTTCCTCTTATGGCTTTTTCCTTAATCTATGCCTACTTCATAGTAGGGATGGCAATGGGGCGGGTTTGGGGCGGGATTGCCTAAACCATCCCCATCTTCAAATACCCAAACCCATACCCGCCCCATATCCATGAGGGGAATGTTTTGCAAACTCATCCCCATGCCCGTGGGTTTCGGGTACCCATGGATAATACCCATCTCCGTACATCTAACATTATTATACCTAAAACTTACAAAAAAAAGTTTTAATTATAACCATAAACAAACCTATTATATCATGAAGTCAACAAAACACGGTCATTTTCTAAATACGATTCAAAGAATATGATCCTAAAACATCCATTAATACATTATATAGACTACAATATTTTTTTAATTATTATGCTCTAACTCTTGATACATTTACTAAGAAATAATTAACTAACATAATCTTGTTGACAAGGGGGAAAGTGAAAGAGTGGAAAGAGAATTGTTGGAAATGAATTAGGTTTTGATTAAGGTGGTTACTCAATTGCATTTCTACTATTTATTTTCTCGAGTTATCATCATCGATAGATTACAATTTAATCCACATATTTTTTGATATGTGAAGAAATTCTCTTGGTGAGGCGGGTATGGGTATGGGTATGGGGCGGGGGAGGCTAAAACCATACCCGCCCCATACCCCATCAAACTTTTTGCGGGTTTTACCCATACCCGCCCCATACCCGGTCAAAGCGGGGATTCCCCGCATTGACTGGGTCGGGGGCGGTCGGGTACCCGCTACCATGGCTTTGATTGCCATCCCTACTTCATAGTCTACCGTCCGACCCGTTGGCGGGTTACTTACAAGAATTCCCATCAAATATGTTCCTTTCTAAAAATTCCTTCAAATATCTACATTGAAATGTATTATCTATCCAAAAGATAAAATTCGTAATAAGCGTCCTCCAATGATAAACTAAATTTTTTAACACAAACAAACAAAAATTGGAAAAAAAATACGAGTTGTGTCCTCAGTAGCACTTTTGTTTAACATAGGGCTAATACCACTACAACACCCGAACTATGACAAAAATGCCACTTGTATCCTATTCTTTCCAATATTCCATTTGTGTCCTGAACTATTTATCCGTTAGTGTTGACCAGCGTTGACCGTTAGTATTTAACAGAAAATCCAGTCAGCGTTGACGTGGCATCTGACGTGTTATTTTTAAATAATTAAATAACAATTAAAAAAAAGAAAAAGAGCAGAAAGTTAAAAATTCCTAATCTCATCTACCCAATCCCCCTCCCAAGCTTGCTCCGTCGCTTCCTCTTACTCCGCGGCGACTGCAATCCCTTCAAATCCCCTCCCCGGCGACAAGATGCTCTTCCAGCGACCAAGACTTCGCTTACGCAACTCTCTCCAGCCTTCTCCACGACCTCGATTCGCTGCTCGGATCTGGCGTCCTCAACCATCTGAACACCATCGTTTTGTCGCAGTCGGGGCCAGATTCAGAGAAGGGAAAGCTCGCTTTGAGATCTCTTCACCAGATTTCAAATCTGCGGGGTTGAAGTTTAAATCTCAGCTCGACATAAACCATCGATATGAGGGCGACAAAGGGTTCAGTCGATGGTCTGGGATTTCGATTGGAGATAGAGGAAATGTCGATTGGGTTTGGGCGAAAGAGGGCGACAAAGGGTTCAGTCGATGGTCTTGAATCCCTAATCTCTCTCCGAAATCTCGCCTGTTGGGGATTTCCAATGGCAGAATACGAGCAGCTGGTGGAGAGCCTAGAGTCGCTCTGGTTTTTCGGCAACGCCCTCTCTTCTCCAATTCTCCCCGCCGCCGATCCCATCCCATCTCCAGAATCGGAAAAAGAACAGAGCAACCAAATGTAATCCAGAGCTCCGATGTCGTTGAACAGGATAAAGATTTCAATTCCGAGCTGATAGTTTCCTCTCCGAAAGAAGAATTCGAGCCGCTGGTGGCGACCGAGAAGCAAAGTAACGAAGGAGGAGGAGGCAGAGCAGCAGGGGAGATAGTGGTGTTCCAGTCGAAGCCGGAATCGTCGCTGGAGAGGAGGAAGAGGATGGCGAGGAGATCGCGGAGCAACCGGAAGATATTGCTGGAGCTTGATCTTTGTTTCGATGATTTGATTGTTTTTTCTCCCTGGAGCTATGGCGGCGGCGCTGGAGGCTGCAACTCTGAAAGGGATGGTCGGGGCAAGATTCCGTCGGAGGAGAAGAAGGAGCGACGCGTTGCCGAAATCGATTTTTGTATTTTTTTTTATAAATATTAATTAATTTTGAATTAAAATCTGATGTGTCAATGACGTGTCATCTATGTGGCCACCTCAATTTTGCCACATCAGCAAAAGTCAACAATAATTTGACTTCCGTCTGGTCAACCGTTATCTCTAACGGTCAACGAAATCGTCAGGATACAGATGGCAAAAAATATCATACAATAGGACACAAATGGAATATTGGAAAGAATATGATACAAGTGGCATTTTTGTCATAGTTCGGGTGTTGTAGTGGTATTAGCCCTTTAACATATTAAGTTTGACACCAGACATAGATTACATCTCATGGACCGCTTTTTCTTTATGCTTTTAGCTAGGCATAGTTATGCTCTTTAAAGTTGGATGACTATTCAAGATAAGACGTCTATCCATTAGCCTCAAAACAATCTTTTCAAAATATGGACTGTTTGTTCCCCGACAACGGCGCCAAAAACTTGACTCGTCCCGAATATCACAATAAAACTCCCAATTAGTGCCCAAGTATAAACCTTATTTGGGTGCAATATAGGACAAGTATGTTTAAATATCAACCCGGGCCGGTCCATGTACCCCTACTTCGATTGTTTGAAACATTATCTAGCGATTGGTTTTTGGTGAAAACAACGATCTATAGCTAAAAAGTTTGGGAAAGTAAACAGATTTGACACTAATTGAGAAAGATTCACCCGGGTGTTACTCCCCCTAGCTAGCAATTATGACTTGTCAGATCGAATGAACACGTGTGGTAAGGAGGTTGTAAACCGTAGGAAAGTGCAACAAGTGAACAAACGCCACTCTCTCGATCAATAGGTCAAGGGAATTCGATTCAAGCTACCAAAGTAGCTCTCTTGACCTATTGACTAAGGGTTTACAAAACTTCACTCTCGAACCGGAGTTCAGACGGTCAAATTACAACCAACCCTAGGTGCTAATACGAACGAAGAGGGTTGCCCTACATTAACCTAGATAAGAGACAAGATTTGACTAAGAAAACCCAGCTTTACAAGCCTCTTTCAAAGAAAGGAGGTTTTCTCTCTACCTAGGTTAGAATGACAAATAGATTGATAGGCAAACACACAACACAATCTTTCATGAAAATACCTCCAAATTCATATTAAAACACATCCCCACACAAATCATTCGACCCATACAAACATTCACATAATTGTAGCTAGGGTTTATAAACACCCAAGTAAAATAAGGAACTAGTCCATGCTAAGAGAAGGGAAAACACAATGGAGAAGAAGCGATACCATCATGGAGATGCTAGTCTTGCTCCTTGTGTTGAAGAGATCCTCTTTTGGGGAAGGAATTCCCAAAACCTTGCTTGAAGATGAAACCTTAGATTCTTCTCTTCTTTGATTCGTCACTTTCTCACTCTAGAAATCTGAAGAAGAAGATGTTTCTCACACTAGGTCTCTCTCCCTTCCTACTTCAGCTCAATCTTCTTTTATACCCAGGTCGAGCTTGATTCACGATCCTAGTTCACGACCGTGAACATCTGGCGGGGACCATGAAATGGAGCAAAAACGCATCGCATCATATAAACTCTTCACGGTCTCAGGCATTGGTTCACGGTCTTACAATCGTGAGCTGACTTGAGTCTAGTGAGACCAAAAATGGCTCTGGACGCATGGCGCTTCACGGTTTCTGGCTTCAGTTCACGGTCCTCCTGACCGTAAACTCTTTGCTTCTGTCCTGATCTGTGGCGGTCTCCATCCTTTGACCCGATTTTGCGTCTTTTCATCCAACTTGCGACACCGGGGCTGGTTCCACCTGCTTGAGTTTGAAACACACTAAAACAAGGAAAAACCTAGCGTAAAACAAAACCTCTCGGTGTGCAAATGCCTCAAATGCCTAAGGAAAATTAGGATAAAAAGTGTACAATTCCCTGGTCGAATCAACGCCTCATTTTTGGCAATCCCTGGTCGTGCATCCAATTCCCCGACTGGGGAATGTGACAGGGGACGGCCAAGTCAGGCTAATACAAGCGGAACACGAGATATTGAGAGGCAATTGATTTTGGAACTGAAAACACAGTTTTAGAGAGAGAAAACGATGAAGAGTGAACGTTGAGTGCCCTAGATTAGGGGTAGGCATTGATATAAACCGCACCGCGTTCTAATTGGACTGCACCGCATGTTGGATCGCAATGTAATTGGTGCGGTCAAGCCAAACCGCATAAATTAGCGGTTTGATGCGGTTTAAAACGCATCGCATATTTGACCGCTATTCATTATAGGCGATACATTAGATTACACATAACCGGAGTGGGCTTAAGCCACTCTCCACAAATTCGGTTCGTGCAAATTCCATTTCCAGATCCGACGAGATTAGTTTTACTTAGTTTAATCAATTTCTGAAGGGAAAAGTTAATCTGCTAACTTGAAAATTCGTTAGCAGATACTAACTGATATCCAAAATACATGAACTAGTATCCAAGTACTAAAGTATCTAGAGAGCACAGACTAGTATTCAATGTTTGCTAACTGATATCCACCATGAATCAACTATTATCCCAAATTCACAAACTAATATCTAGACAACACAAAATAGTATCAATACAACACATAATTAGTATCCAGATAACC